CCGGTTCCAGGTAATTTTAGCAACCGCAGAACTCTACTTTCGGTATAGATAGCCTTTTCCTAATTTCGATTTTGATCAACTTCAAGTTATAAACTAAATCCTTTTCTGTTTCTTATTCTCTGGTATTTTCTTTTTTTTTCTATATTTCCTTTGTTTACAGTTATGCTTTATAATGTCAATGTGATTTTACTATTAATAATGTTCTTTCTACTTATTATTGACACTTGACTTTTCTCTGTCCATATGTTTAATTATCATTATAGCACTATATATATGCTTTTTCCTTTTACTGTCACACGGACGAAATTCGTGCATGACAACGAAGCGTGATGATACATCGCACAGTACATTTCTTAAAATAAAGTAATATTTAGATATAGATATAAAGAGATATTGTCAATTGTCAGTGTTCATTCATATATAGGAGAAAAAAGAAAGAAAGAGAAACAATGCCATTTTTTCATTTGTTCATTCGTTGTGAATTGTGTTTATAGAAAAATGCTTCATTGTTTTCATTGGTGATGAATGAGGACACGGTCAATCAAATAGAGAAAATGAGCATATATATATTCATATTTATAAACGAAAAGAATAGATAAATGAAAATAAATATGGAACATTCATCGGTTGAATTAAATGATTTACCTGATGAGATTCTTATGGTTATTTTGAAAAAATTGTGCAATGTCGAAGTATTGTACTCTCTAAAGGTGTTAACAAACGACTCAATGCAGTTGCACATGATTCAATTTTTACAAATCGCTTAACGTTAATGAGACGTGTCTCAGATCATCGCACCAATCCATTACCTGATGCAATACTTGATCGATTTTGTTTACAAATCTTACCTGAAATTCATCATAAAATCAAATGGCTTAATCTTGAATCATCAAGTATGGAACGTATTCTTCATGCTACAAATTATCCGAATTTATACGGACTTGGTTTATATGATATTGAGATAAAAATAGCTCTGTCTCTCTTTATTGGTAACGATATTTTCTTCAACTCTTTCAATAATTAGTTAATGAAAAATATGTACAAAAATCAAAATGATTTTGAATATCTAAGTTATACGAATAGATTTCGATCATTATATATCTTTTTTTTTAATAAAATCTTTCTCAACTATACTGATACAAACTGATGAACATAAATTCGAAGAAAATTAGTAGTAGAAAAACAATACAACGAATCTCTTATAATTAAAGTAATATTTGAATAAAATTTTTAAGTGTCTTTAATTGAAATTTTAAACAATGATTCTGAAAGAAGATAGTGTAGAATAAAATAAATGACTGAAATAAAATACCACATCGATGATACAATATAATTTATTAAAGACTTTCCAAGGAAAAAAAGATCACATAGATACATTAGAAAATTGTTAAAAAGAAAAAATAGATAGATTAATTGATTTTATGATCAATATAAAATCGAATAAACATGTGTTTCATTGACTTTCTATTTTTTTATTTAGACGAATCTTTCTTGACTTCTATAGATAAAAACCAAATCTTAGCGCTTGTAATCAATCGTACTACATATGGAAAAGTAACTTCAGAAGATATGAATTCGCGAATCTTAGCACATATCTTTACTACGTTCTCCAATTTACAATATTTAAATTTTTGTGCATCTTCAATTGTGCATTGCGGATTATCATTTATCGATCCATATCCGAGTATTAACTCTTCAATTCTCTTAGAATTGCATATCCGTTTAATGTCGTTCTCCGGCTGTCTTTATATACTTGATGGACGTTTCAATAAACTTCACACACTTCATCTTGATGTTACGAACATTTTTGCTTCGGATTTTAGAAACAATAATCAGGTAAATTATTTTGGTTAATATTTAATTCTTTCGAACAAATTCACTATATAATTTTTATAGGAAAAATTACCTATACCTAATATAAGATGTTTTTCATTATACTGTCAAGACATAATAAATGTTTATGATGAATTAATTGTACCATATCTACAACGAATGTCGAATTTAGAAAAACTCACTTTGAATCTTGCTACTTTTGTCAAAAATAGATTTATTGATGGAAATGAATTGAATCAGAATATTGTTAGTTATATGCCGCGATTAAAGATATTTGAATTTTATATTTGCTCAAACCATTATCGTCCTAAACAAATTTATCTACCGTCAAAAGAATATATTCAACATACGTTCAGAGATTTTAAAAATGATCAAGTTTCTTCTTATATTGATTATTTTCAAGAAAAAGAATTTAGTTTATGTCATATCTATTCATATCCTTACAACTTAAAATATGACTATACTATAACAAATAATTTTCCAGGTGGATTATTTAAATATGTTCAGGAAGTATCACTATATGATGAACGTTCTTTTGAACATGAATTTTTTCTTCGAATTCAAAAATCATTTCCATTTATTAAAATAGTGTCTATAAAAAATTCTAAACCACAAAATAACAAATTATGCAGAGAATCAAAGAATGACAATCAAGATTTTTCGATCATTAAATATCCCTATATTATTAATCTTACACTTTATGATGCTCATGATGATTATATTGAAGAATTTCTAGTTGATACGAATATATGTTTACCGGATAATTCTATTTCTGTTCATATTAACATTGATTATGAGCAACTGGAAAGAGTGACACACAATTTTACAAGAGATTCAACACGAATCAATTCTGCAAAACTGGATTCCTTATGTCTCAATGGTCGTCGACTTCCTGAATATGCAAAAGACTATTTTCCACATGTATAAATATTGATTATTGTCAATGCTTTTGTAAAATAAATTGGTTTATGTAGAATAAAACTATTAAAATAAATAAAATTTATTTTATGTTTGATTGAAAAGAAGCACATCTATGGATAGTACTCGACCTCTTTTATACAGGCATATAGACAAAGTAAATTAATGTTGTGTAGGTTTAATATATGACTCAAAACAAAAGGTGTAGCCAGACTTTTGACCCGCACTGTATATGGAATTAATATTATTATCTATACCATCCTTCTTTTATAACTAGAATATTTGCTCGATTTTAACCATGAAAACTAGTGTTTGTATCTACCGTCCTTTTATGTAAATTTAAGCGACTTGAAACAATTATATTTTGTATTTTGTACTTTTTTCTTCTTACATGCTTTTGTTTTGTCTCATGCTTATCAAATTTGTAATGCAGAACCCTAGTAAATGCTAAAAATGAATAAACAAACAGTAAACGTGTCAGTGAAATTAAAAACTTCACATCCCTTTATACAAACAAGTACATTTCAAATTACTTCGACAACAAGATTGATAGCTGAAAGGTAACAGTAGAGATTAACATGCTGATTTGTCTTTCGTTTAGATTTAAGAGATATAGGTCGATCTGTTCTCGATTGATTTGCCCATTTTAAGATGGCTTTGAAAAAGGTCAGTAAATGCTCAATAATCATTATTAATTTTCATCTTAGAAGAGCTTTCTCTCAAATACTTTATTGAATGTGAATGTTCTTATCTCGTTCTGAATAGTTTATGTAACTTTAAACACCAATAAAAAAACAAATATTCATAATTGAAACCGCCAATTTCACATTTGATTCAGTTTTTCTTTCTGTGATGAAGTTTTCATATCATTTCTAAAATGATGCAGCGCTTGCGGCTTCTTGTTTTGCTTTTTCATATTCGTCCATCACCCTCACCACACTCCAATTCCAACAGGCGCTCCAATTCAACTCTTTTATTTTCAATAACAAGTATTGTTATATTTCGTTTGTTTTAGACAAGAAAATGCCTATGGAATAGTTAACGTGTATATTTAAAAATTGAAAATAGACAAAGAACAAGAAAAAAAAATTAATAGCAAAAAAGAAAAAGAAAATAAATATTTATTGCGAAGACTAGGCCGATTCGGTTTAATGTATATCCATATATGTCAAACTTGAATTCAACTTTCAAGTTTGACACTACTGAAAATATAAGAATACTGACTTTTTGAATTTCACACTACAGCTAATCAATGTTTTCTATATGGTTTTTTATTCATGTCTTTTCCAAAGGCATATGGAAACAAGAAGAGAATCAAATTTAAAAAAAAAATATAATATTAGGACTCCTTTATTAGGCTTACAAGGGAAGGCAACCAACTGATCAATCGCTTTTGAGTCAAGACTATGTGCGTCATGCAGTTCCTAATGAGGTATGAATACTCTGAAAGAAGTTCGGCTATTAGCTTATTGGTGCCGAGACAGTTCATTTTTACGGAGTATTGTAACAGAATACCGTGGTCCCTTGAGGAACACCAAAAAACACTGAGTTTGAAATCTCGACTTGACATTTGCGTAAAGACAGATCTTAACGAGAATAGGTTATTGTGAAAAGTTCATATCTTTTGATTTAGTTCTATCCTGAAAAACGAACATCAAATTATGCCCGTGTATGTATATGAGGGAGGTAAAAGACATGCTTTTATCATAGCTGTATCTTAGTATGGAAACAACGAAAATATCTGGAAGTTGAAACAATAAATTATTCTCGTTTAAGGTCTATCTCAGTTCAATGTTTCAAGTCGAAATTCTAAAATCAATTTTCTTGCTATTCTTAAGGAGAAGCATATATATCGTCTTTTTTTATTGAATAGTACTGTGCAAGCCAAACTAGTCGAATATCACATATCTCCTAGCTATTTATTATCTTATTTTATCTTTTTACTTTCTTCTTTTTTATAATTCGCATTGGTAAATGTGAGTTGTCACTACTCATATTAACATGTGTTCGTCTGCTGATTTGTTTTTGCTGTGTTTGTAGAAAAGAAGTGATAAAAGTATAATGTTGATACTAATCTTCTTTATTTTTGTCAAAGTTTTTCATGAAGTGCATAGAAAAAAAACTAGGGTGACATGTGGACAACTGCACAAAAAAAACCTAAAAAGAAAGAGAAAAAAACCTGTTTCAAACACGCAATATTCAGATAGATAAGAACATATTCATATTGTCATTCATAACGTTTTTATCCTTTAACGTTGACGAACTGAACCAGCACGAAGTGTTGATGTTGCTCGTACTGTTGTAGTAGCTTCTCGTAATTCACGCTAGAGAATTAAAACAAAAAAAAAATCTTTAATTATATTTTTTAATAAAAAAAAAAGACTAACTTACAGCTGGAGAAGTACGACTAGCACTAACAGATGATCGATTTTTGGCACGTAATTTACCAAGTTGATTTTCAGCTAAATCAGCACGTTCAGCTGAGTCTTCTGCAAAAATAAAGACATTTTCGATTGTTTTTTCTTGTTTTTTTTTTTCATTAATTAACTCACCAAGTTCTGTTTGAACTTTACGAAATTTAGTTAAACTAATTGCAGCAATTTCCTCTAAAAAAAAAAAAAGAAAAGTTTAAAAAAAAATAATCGTTGTAAAAATATCTATTTATCAGCTTCTTCAACTTGACGTTTGTAAACTTTAATCTTTGATTGTAATTTTTCAATAAGATCTTGTAAACGTAATTGATTTTGACGATCTTCTTCTGTTTGAAATGCAAGTTCTTTCAAACGACGATAATTTTTACGTAATTCTTTCAATGTTTCCTGATGACGATGTTGTTCTAATTCATTTTCATTCTCTAATTCATGTATCTAATATATTAAAAACAAAAAAAACGAAAAATTGAATTTTATTTTTATTTTTGTTCTTTTAAAAAACTTCTTACACGTTGTTCAAGTTTAGCAATAACACATTTTCCACCTTTAAGTGAATTAGCTTCAGCTTCATCAAGATGCGTTTGAAGATCTTTAACCTGTTGTTCAAGACCTTTACGTAATCGTTCAACTTGTAAAGCATGATCTTGTTCTTGACGTTATTTTTCAACAAGACGTCAAGCATGAGCACTTGCTTTCTTAGCATGTTCTTCATTATTTTTAAGTTCACTAACAGCTTCATCTAAATCAGCTTGCATAGCAGCAATAGTTGATTCAAGTTGTCGTCGTTGTGAAAATAAATTCGCATTTTGTGTATTTATATCACTAATACGATCAACTGCATCATGTAATTCATTTTCAGCTGCTTTACGTGCACATTCAGCTTGTTTTAAAGCTGTAGGTAATTCTTCAAGTTCACCATTTATAAGATTAGCACGACGTTCAGCTACAGCAGCTGGTTCACGTGCTTTATCACGTTGTCTTTGTTCTTCTTCAATTTGTGTTTGTAATTCAGTAATATTTTGTTGAATTCTTTTTAATGTTTTTTGTAAATCAGCATTTGTACGATTTGCATGATCAAGTGCAACTTCAAGATCATTAATATCTGATTGAAGTTTCTTTTTCTAGAAAAAAACAAAATATTTTAAATTATCATTTTTGTTTTAGTTCTTTTGTTTTGTACTTGTTTAAGTGCTTAAGCTTTTGAACGTGTTTCAACTTCTAAACTTGCTTGCATTGATTCAATTGCACGTTGATGATTACGTCTTGTATTTTCAAATTCTTCTTCTTTTTCTTCAAGTCTTCGATCAATTTCTTGACGAACTGTATTTAATTCCATTTGAGCTCAAAGAACTTTAGCTTCTTCTTGTTCAAGTGTTGCTTGAGCATCTTCTAATGCAGCTTGTAATTCTTCTTTTTCTAATTCAGCACGTTTACGAGATTTTTCTAATTCATGAACTGATTTTCCACCTTCACTTAATTGATCAATAAGATCCTTAAAAAACACAAAAAAAACAAATGATTTGTTTTTCTTATATAAAGAAGAATAAATATAAAAAACAAACGTTTAATTTCATGAGGTAAATTTCTATTTTCTTTTCTAAGTGCTTGAATTTGTTCATGTGATTCTTCATATTGTGTTTTAAGTTAAAATAATTCTGTTGAAAAATATGTTGTTTCTTCTTTTTGTGACGTTTCAAGTTCAACGGTTATATCTTCAGATATTTGTTTCCATTGATTAATTAATTTATAAAATTGTTTTTGTTTTTTATCCATAGCCGATGGATGTTAATAAATAATGATAAAAGAAAAAAAAAGAAAGAAATTATTTATTTGTTTTATATTAATTATATGTTAAACTTAGTAGCATTATCACGTTCAACATCAACCATAAGATCTTCAACATTACCTTGAAGACGAGGTTTAACTTTTTCTAATGCATTACATTTATTTAAAGCAGCTTCAACTTGTTCTTCACCTTCGGTTAATTTAGCAGCTAATTTTCATTTACCTTCTTCAAATTCTTCACCACGATCTATTCTTAAATGAATATTAAATTTTTTAATAATAAACTAAAATTTTTAAATTGGTGAAATTTTAACCTTGAGATTGAAAATGTGCTCTCCATTGTTGTACTTTAGCATTAAGTTTAGTAACTTGTCTTTGAAGTTCAATTTTAGCTTCTTGTTCTTCATCAAGTTGTTCTCGTGCTTGTTCAAGATCACTAGTTAAATAACGTATGTTGAGAATCTAAATAAATATTAGGAGAAATATTTCACATTTATTCTCAATTGTAAAAGTATAAATCTTCGAATGAATATAATCATTTTTCTATTCGATTTGTCTTATATTTAGATCTGAGTAAAAGCATGACTCGTGACATCGACAGACGACTGATGAAATATATAGTTATGATTTTTGATGATCTATCACTTGTTCAACTTCTTCTCGGTCAAAGATGAAAGCTGAGTGATTAATTTGTTTGGCACATACATTCAAGGTATTGTGTTCAAAACTCTATGCAACTTAGACATAGAATGATGCTAACCAAGCACTGCCGGCTGTTTCTCCCGGATAATCAGTTCAATAGCATACTGATTACTTTGTGACATATGCCAGTCATTCTAATTAGTATATGATTAGTCATTGTGTGCGAGTAGGTCAAGTAATTGGGTGGAAGAACTCTGAATGAGGTCAGCCTTCTCTCCAGAACTATAGATAGATTTAGGGTATTTTCTTCTTCGCTTAAAGATGAAACTGATACCAATATCTCTCGTTCTCTGTCCTTTGCATACACGCATAAATAACTTAATTCATGTATTTTTTATCAATTATTTGTGACTAATAGAGTCTATCGTGTTCTGTTTCTCTGTCATGATAATAAAAGTTAATATCTGTGATAATAGTTACTAACTGAACCTTTGCCACGTAATTCATCATCTAATGTTCGTTTAGCTTCATCAAGTTGTTGTTGTAATGCTGTTTTAGCTTTATTTAAAGTTCCAATTTGACGTTCAAATTCTTCAATTTGTCTAGTTAAATCTGAATTTTCACTTGATAATTTTGTTTTACTATGATTTAAATCAGTTATTTGTTTAACATGATCTTCAATTTTAGTTTGAATACGATTTAATTGTTGTTCAAGTTGTTTTGAAAGTTTTTCAGCAGCTGCTTCACCTTTTTGTAGATGTTCAATTTGTGTACGTAAATCATCTAATTCAGATTTAACTGTTTGTTTTTCTTTTTCTAATTGATTTTTTAATTTTTGCAATTAATCAATTTGTTCACCCATTTCTTAAAAAAAAAAATAAATTTACCATTAACAGCATCTTGATGTTTTTTTTCGTAATTGTGCAGCTGTAGCTTCATGTTAAAGATTAGCTTCTTCTAAATCTCGACGAAGTTTTTGTAATTCAGATTCACGTTTTTTATTCATTTCAAATTGTGATGATGTTGCACCATCAGCTTCTTCTAAATAATCATTAATTTCATCAATTTCTCTTGCTAAATCAGCTCGTTGTTGTCTTTCATTTTCTATTTCTTCTTCTAATTCTTCAATACGAGCTTGTAATTCTTTGATTTTTTTCCTAAACTTGTTACTTGTCCTTGTTCATCTTCAAGACGTCCACCCATTTGTTGAATTTCTTGATCTTTACGTTTAATATTTTCTTCTAATTCACCTTTGGATTTTTCTACTTCTTCTAAATTACTTTGTAATGCTTTTAAATCAGTTTCAAGTTTTCGTTTTGATTTATCTAAATCAGCACGAGCTTTTTTTTTCGCGTTCTAAATTATCTTCTAATTCATCAAGTATTTGTTCAAATTTAGCTTTAAGTTTATTTAAATGATTAACTTCATCTTCTTCACCTTGTAATTGTTCAGTTGTTTTAGAATTTTGTTCTTCAAGACGTTTACGTTCACGTGTTAATTTAGCTATTGTTTCATCTTTATGAGCAATTTCATCTTGTAATGTATGAATTTGATTATCACGTGTTTTACATTCATTTTCAGATTTTTGTAAACTTAAACGCATATCATCAATATCTTTTTTTAAACATCAATATCATGTTCAAGTTTCTTTTTCTTATTATTTAATTCTTGTGCACTTTCTTCTAAATCTTTAACTTGTTGTTCAAGATCAGCTTTTTATGTACTCAAAAAGTTCATAGACTCTAGAATTGGTCAGTGTGCCCGTCCGGCCGTTTACACGAGAACTTTTGAAAGGAGAGTCCAATCGTGATGAAATTTTCTACACAGTTTAGTCTCAATAATATCTCGG